GTGTGTGTGTGTGTGTGTGTGTGTGTGTGTGTGCAAGCTGTGCATAGCTTGTATTTTTTACCTATTCTTTCAATTATTTTCTTTGACTCTCTCATAAGTTTAAAGGCAAACATGAGCCTGGCTTGAGTTCTACAATATGGTCATTTCTTAAAATAGCCCTGGACATTGCATCTGCACAGTCATGTGCAGGTAAGACCATCCACATTTCGTCAACCGAGCATTTCTGTCTGGAGTTTGCATGATCTCCTTGTGTCTCTGTGGGTTCTCTCCAAGTTCTCTTCCTCACAAAAAATTATTAAAATGATATTAAATATTAATTTAGTTGTAGGTCTGTCAGTCTGTCCAAGGTGTAGCCCACCATTCACCCTAAGTGGGATAGGCAGAAGATGGATGGGTGGATGGATAGACGGTCTTCATCAGCTGCTTATAGCACTCTGCAGTAGATGAAAGCTTGGTTTTGCACCAATCACACTCCTTGATCCATCACCACTCTGTGAGACTTGATATTACAGGCTGACACACAACTGACTGACCCAAACCTTAGTCACCTCGTATACCAGCTGTACTGCTGAAGCTGGTTTGTCTTTGAGGTACCAAATCTTAGCTGAGATTTGGCCACACACTGCAGAATGCTTGATAAAAAGGTTCAATTGAATGTTGGTTTGTGGTTAGTTGTAACTGAGCATTCTTCAGTGTTTATGTTAAACACTGCTGGCCTTCTTTTTTTTTTCTTTAGGGTCTTTAATGACAGTTTCACCTATCATCTGAAAGACTACTGGTGGGAAATCACAGTTATTTAATGCCTTTTGGGACTGTCACCTTGGAGGTAGTGCAGAGAGTCACTGACCCAGCCTGTCATCATGTGAATCATTAAGGTCACATAGGTCAAGTATGAGTGAATTGCTTTGGAACAGATCTTAAAATGGCAAATTCAGGGCTATACTGTACGTGGACAGTTTTGAAATTCCTTCCAAGGCAATTCAACATCTACTCACACCATGACCCATGTTATCAGCTGGTGGCTCATGCAACCCTGCGAATTGACTCTTGTGTTTCTTTTTGCTTAAAAAAATCTGTTGTTGCTGTTGTCTTCTGTTGGTTAAATGAAGATGAAAAACTGTGATGGTACTGGGTTTTGCTCCTTCTCAGTATTTTCTGTATTCCACAGCTCCCATCTAGTTTTGCATTTAGAGCAACTGTGTAGGACTTAAAGAGCTATGAAACAGAGCAACATCATGTTCATGTAGATAATGTGTGGGTGCAGATTGGAGTAGGGTTGTACAAAAAAGAACCCAAAACAAAAAGTAAAAAAATTGATACTCAGATGCTAATTTATTCAGCAATTTAGATACTCATTTGTAACAGTATCAATACCAACAGTGCCTGTCTTCACATCCTCTACCTGAGGCACTTCACACAGTACTACTGGAGACAGGCAGGCATCATTATAAGTTAATTATATTATTCCAAGACTCTAGTTTTTATTTTTATTTTAGTAAATTAAAGTAATTATGGTTTACTGACACTAAACTAAAAATCTAGTTTATTTTGTAGTTCAGTTTAGTAAGCTATAGTAATTTTGCATTTCACCACACTGCAGCGTTTAGCTAGCACTGAGAGATAACAAAAAGGCATTAAGAGCACAAAGTCAGTGTAGAGCATTCGATTGTTTCCCTCTAGGGGCAAAATTTAAGTAGATTTTGTCTCTATAGAAGCAAAGGTCAAAGTTACAAAGAAAAAAAGAATAATAATAATTTCAAATGATGTAAAACTGCCAAATCAAAATTATGTAATAATATATTTTGTATGCTAGCTACATGACGTTTGCTTGTCCATTGTCATCTCAAACAGCTCTTTTTCAGGTGTTGTATAACACAACAAACTGGATGCATATGTTCAGTGTATCAATGAGTACTTTCTATGTTGTACTCATTTAAATAATGCTTCTTAATGTCAAATGATAATATTGACCAAAACTTTCTTTAGATGAAATATAATTCAGCATGCAAATCCAGTTCTTGATATACTTGCAAGCAAGTGTGGTTATATGTTATTTTTATGAATTTAGCAACTTGGAGCAACTTCAGCTGATAAACCATCTTTTCTCTCCATTTTCTCTGCACTTTCTTGTCATCTGATGTCAGTGGCACCAGAGGAGTGTGTTCACTGTGAACTGTGTTGAGCTGTGGAAGAATGGGAACTTGCTACCATGCCATCCAAACGAAAAATTGTAATAAAATTTTTATGCTTCTTTCTTTGCAAGAACTATTAAAATCTGGAAACAAGGAAACTCTTTCTTGGGTACTGGATTTGTATATATGTGTGTCTGCGTGCTAAAGGCTATTTTTAACAATGTGTGCATGTGAAGTTAGGTAATTGGCTTTGTTACTATGTCCGTGTGGGAAGTTTGGATGTGGATGTGTGTGCGAATTACCCAGGGGAAAATTTTCAAAATGCATGAACCCAAGCATAAAGGTATTTATCTGTCACACCAAGACCTATGATTCTCCCCCTCGTTACCCATCAGCCCTATCACACAGCCGACCCGGCAATGGTTACACAGCTGACTGAGTGAGTGGAGCGGCCTTGTTGAGCGCTGCTTTTGAAGATGATGCAACACGATGGACAAGCAAGCTTTTGCTTTAAAAGAAATGAATCTGCTGTTTTATTAAAGAGCTCACTGCTTGTCATGCAGCGTGAAAAAATCCAGCCGGGGGATGGAAGTCTTGAGAAACACGATAAAAAACGGGATAAAATCACCTGAACACGACTTCAATATAGTGGTGGTACAGCAGTTGATCCTGGGGTTTTACAAAGGAAAGAGACTGTGAAGTGTAAATGAGCACGCATCACACCTTTCCTGAATGCTGATGTTTAGTACTGTAGACATTTAAACATGTAAACAACTTCAGGCTGACGAATCAAATCAATGTAAATGTATCAATTATTTTAAATTGCAACATCACATTTATGGAACTTGTATAACTCAAGCATCTAAAGACGTGGCATAATTGAAATAACCATGTGAGAATAGGCAGAGGCTAATATTTCACCTCAGTCCAGCTAAATTAAATGGCTATTCTATTCTATTCTTTTCTATTATGGCTTAATTTACCAGTAACAAGTTTCTCCTGTATTTCTAAACCATTTCTAGCATTGCACCATTTTATTCTTTGTGGGGAAAGTGTCCTAGCTTGAAAGAGCTTCAGACAAGAAGCAGACAAGAATGATTAGCTTTCTTAGCTACACCTAGTTCAGCTGTTGCTGCTGTTTTACTTCAGCTCTCTTGGCTGAAAAGGCACAAAACATAACAAAACAAAGAGTTTTTCCTTCCCGCTGTCTCCAACTGCGTGCTCATAGAGGGTCGACTGATTGTTGGGGCTTTAAGTTGACTATTGTTGCGATTTGGCATTAAATAAATAAAGCTGAACTAAATTGAATGGGCCACTTTATTAGGTACACCTTGCTAGTACCTGTATTGGATCCCCTTTTACCTTCAGAACCGCCTTAATTTTTCATGCCATAGATTAAACAATGTGCTGGAAACCTTTTGTAGAGATTTTGATATATA